AGGGAGTATAAGCTCAGGTCCTTAAATTTTTTGGATTTCAAGTGTTAGGTTGATTATATTGAATCTGAAGCTCTTTTTTTGGATTCAAATGTTAGGACTCTCCCCTGATAACCGAACTTAAAACTGACCGATTTATATAGTCGGTTCTCTGTTCGGTTGTTCTCATGATGAATGGTTCGATTCGGTTTATAAATTTTACTTCTGTCTATAATAGGTTCGGCTGGCAGAAGTCGGCTCTTCCGACCCTAAAGGTCAGGTGAACACCCCTAGCGTGAAGGGCTAAAATTGTGCCAGAATTTGCTCTTCCATCTTTTTCAACGAAACTTTCTTTTTCTTCCAACAGTGATAGTTAGAAAAATCATAAGTATTTTGTACCCATATCATCAACTTCCCACCAGTTAAAAGCATCCATTTAATTAGCACTACAGATTTAATCAAGACTCTTTTGTCTTCTACAAGTTAGTGGTTTTTCCAATTTCTATTTGGGGTATGATGGAGACTGAAGAATAACATTGATGAAGACAGAGCTTGTAAAGGATATTTTAGGTATTAAACATAAATTTTTTCAAGGGAAGCTATGAAAACAAAGCCCACAACATGCTTTGGGCGTGTGAAGCATATTCTCTGTCAGTTTGAATGGCAAATGGATGGCAAAATGTAACGGTTTCACTTTGGTACACAATAATGGGGAGGTCATTTGCATAATTTTAAAATTCGAGGAGTTGATGTGTTTTTGGCCAAAACCACCCCCTCATGCCCATGCGGGGGTTGGGTTAAACCCTATTTTTAATGTAGTTGTATGTTTTTTCTTCTTATGTTTGTACAATTGATTGGATTCTTTTTCCGCCATACTATGTATCTCCTTCTCTTAATAACTATTTTGTTTCTTATCAAAATAAAGATAATTGGTTACTAAAATATGGTAATCTACCTTCACCACAAAAAATACTATAAATATGAAATTGATAATTTAGCACGATTCTTATGGTGCTCAAATTATTAACAAACCTCCTTCTAGAAGATTCTGTGTTAAATATGTTTAATGAAATTGACATTCTTATATTTTTCTATGATGTCATGGTCTTTGGAGGTACACTCACAATTTGGAATAGAGATGCTTGCGACCAGAAGCAATCAAATTATAGGGAGAGGCTTATATACAACCAAAGAGACGAGATTTATTACAATTTTGGTAGAGGTGCAATTCAGACGAGTTAGGAGGTCAACTCAAGCTCAATCCAAATTATGAAAGCTTCAATATGGACTCAATTTGAACCCGACAATCAACCCTATTCTTCAACCCTAGTATTGCCCATGTTTAGTTTTTAAAGCTCGGGTTGAACTTGGGTTAATGAATTTGGACACAAATTTGTTTTCATAATGTGTGTTTGTGTGCTGATACAAATTTAAAGTACATACATCCTTCGGGACATTGTTGTAACAGATAAAAAAGGAGAAGGGAATAATTACAATCTGAGATCAGTCTAATAACAATGGAAACATATTCAATACATCATTATACTTTAAGATTGAGCTCCTGCTGCAAGAAATTATTTAAGATTGTCAATTGTCAGCCACATATCCAGGACTCAAGTCATGAAATGTAAAATATCAGAATCCATTAATACTGGAAATGAAAACTGAGTGTTGCCTGAATTTGTTTACCACCCTACAACCCCCGATCAGGGTCACACGACCCTGAATGGGGTACAATTGCGACCTGGATCGCCGAAAACTCTGACACCAGATGTCAGTTCTATCCTCAAATCCAAACTGACCCCAAATCAATACCCTAACCACAAATTTTTGAAAAATATAAAAAATTGCACAAAACAATTTAATTAAGGGAGCATGAAGGAAAAATATAAGAAATATACATTATAATTTCCATAAGAGGCGAAATTGAGTGGAGATGAAGTTGCATACCTGGATTGATCGAACATTATCGATTCAACTAAGTGCTTAGGCAAGTGCATTGAACAGATAGTACTATCCTATAGTACCCTCCCCTTTCTTGTCATCGATTGACTGTTGTCTCACTCCCTCGATCTATATTTCCATCTCAGAGGAAGGTTCTCGATTTTGTCTCGGAAGGTAAGGTCCTGGAGGTTTGTAAGGACTGAATTTATTGTATTGTAAATGACTGAATGAGTGAATGTCCTTGGCTCATATCAGCCATTACAGACCACCCATTACTGGCCTGTAACAGCCTGTAACATCTGTTCCGGTGAAAATCTCATTCTCGCCTATATAGTGGAGCCCATTTTTTCAATCTATAATTCGACATCTTTAAAAGCCAGACCAAATACTGACCTGTAATGGCCCTGTTACCAGTGAGAATTTCATTCTCACCAACCGAGTGAAGCCCCTTTTTCAATCTATAATTCAATGCTTTCAAAAGCTTGTGTATTGTGTTACCTCTGAATGCATCACATCACATTAAACAAAGAGGGGCTGTCTCCCTCACACTCCTTGCCATACCATCCCTTTCTTAGTGTACTCCAGCTTTCCAAGCATAAGGCATTCCACTCCAAAGGGCCAAACAGTTGGATCCATAGTTCTTTTGCTGCTGGACAGTGAAGGAGTAGATTATTCACGCCTTATGCTGACTCCTTGCCCGTTAAGCACCAACTGACAACATTTTTTGTTATTGTTCTTAGACGATCAGCAGTTGGAATAGCCTCGGCTGCCAAAACAAGTAATGCAATCTTCTTATTTTTTATATTTGATGTGAATTTTGAAGTCAAGATTGATTTTGCATTTTGCTTATGGGATTTTGCATCTTTCCCATTCTTGTGTTTTTTTTTCTTTCCCGTAATATGCTTTTTGCTTCTTTTCCATGTTTCAGTACCCTATTAGAGTGTAATAATTCTTTTCTTGGAACCTATTAGAGGTCATTGCTTCGTTCAATGCTAAACTTTGTGGGCTTTTAAGCTTGAGATTTTGATTTGAAGTATGAGAGCAGTGACTTTGTACTAGGATATGCCAAAGGTTATATTTGTGTCCAGCATCCTGCCTAAGTGAGACTGTTAGTAGCCTTCTATTATACCTTTCATTAACTCTACCACTAATTCTTTTTTATTGATTTTATGTAGTCAAACATGTGACACATCTTTTTGTTGATTTTTCTGGTACCTTGTGGATTAAAATCCTTTGTAATTTGTTTATCTTTCCTTTTGTAAATTTCTTGTGAAAGTCATCAGCATGGATTCCTATTTATACAATTTAGATAGATCATGGATATTCTCACCAAGAAGGCTAGGAAGAGACATAAAATAGCCAATTCAGAACTACCGCAAACATTGAAATTTTTCTTGAGACCACCAAAGTGATTTTATTGGGTAGCATATGCTCCAGATGATCTTGAAGTTTTGGGATACAACTAATAAAGCTTGTAATTCTCTTGCAAAATTTTGCAGCCTTTATTAATTGTTTGGTTGTAAAGGAAAACTGATGAGTTTACACTCCGCTTGTTTTGGTGTAATATATTTGCAGCATTTTCCGGTGTTGGGTGGTATGGGTAATTTTTTGGCGTAAAATATTTTACTGAAAATAGCTTATAAATGCTGAAAAAGGACTTCTAGATTTTGAGATTTTTTGGTGGAATTCATTTTCGACATATATGTCTAAATAATAGATATGCAAACGACTATGCTTGCATTGTTATAAAAACTGTGTTACATACATTTTGACATATATCCCCATTTACATATATGTCCATATTCTAGGAGTTATGTTGCCACTGTTGCAAAGTGACCCAAATCCATAGTTATTTAGGTATTTTGTTTAAATCACTAATAAAGATAATTATTTTCCAACGTAATGAAACGCCTGAAAATGTGACAAACATGATTTTGTTTCATATCAAATGGTTCTAATGGAAAATATTTTCTTGAGTAGAACGTGTTACATCAAAACAAACATATGGTTAACTTATATGATATTATATTTTTGTCTTGTCCATCATTTTCGTTGTTTCTTTTTAGAAAAGTAACTTATCCATCATTTTCCTTTATTGTCAAAACTTGTATCATGATCTTAAGTTCCTATGCTGAGCAGGTATGGGCCATTCTGGATATGCAGCACCTTAATATTTGTGGCGGCTTCCATTGGCACATTTGTTACCTATGTGGCACACAAGCTACAGAAAAAAGAATGGAACTATGACATAAATCTGGTGACTTGGTCTGCGGGTTTGTTTTATGGCTACGTCACTATAGTTCCTATTTGCCTCTATATAATTCTCAAATACTTCTCTGCTCCATCTGGTCTCATTCAGCTGTTTTGTCTGTATGGCTACTCCCTGTTTGTCTTCATTCCTGCTTTGGTAAGGTTTATGCTTTCAGTTTTAGTCTGAATAGTTGTTCTTGAAAATCTTTGGCGAATTTCATGCTTCTAAAAATTGCCTATATATGGTATATAAAGATTGTATGTTGATCAGGGATATTACAGGTCCAAGTAGTTTGACCTGTATAAAGTACCTTTTTATGTGATTATACATGTGGCTTTTGCTAGTAAGAAATTGGGAATGTATTAAACAATGGGTTTTTTATATTACACATTCCCGTTGACATATGAATAATTCTACTCCATACCATTTCATTTCGCTCTTAGTAATGTTGAATTTCATATTTCATCTAACAAAAGTCTGCAAATTAATTTACATTCATAGCCACTGTTGAGTGTTGACTTGAGAGTCCGACAAGTAGGCTCTTTACTGCATCAACTGCTAAGACCCAATGCCTCAATGCATACTTTCTTGTGAAACTTCCATAGCAACCCATGTTAGCGATAATTCTCCTTAATTATTGTTCTAATATAGTGTGTGCTTTCTTGATAGGAACTAATTTGCTGCTGAAATTTTTGCTCCTTATATTTTTGCAGTGTCTCTCCGTCATTCCCTGGGAAATTTTCAGATGGGTGGTTGCAGGGGTAGCTGGGTTCATGTCGGCAACCTTCGTTGCACTTAATCTCAGAAACCACATTAAGTCTGCAGGTGAAAGGTGGTTTTTGATTGTGGCTGGTATCTTTCTGTTGCAGCTGGCTCTTGCCCTGGTACTGAAGCTCTACTTGTTCACAGTCACAGTATAAATATATATATAATCTTAGGTGGCATCAGCATATTATAGATCATGGAGGCAGGGCTTTCAGGCCAATTGGCCTTTCTGTCTGATACACTTGAAAGGCATCAACATTCAAAGCCCATGTATTCTTTCATTTTTGACTATAAATTTCAAGTTACTTTAGAATTAGAAGATTGTGTTCTGAAAAGTGGATGTTAATAAAATGGTAAGATTTGCCACTAAAGTGGCTTATTCCATCTATATATGGGAGTTTGAATGTCATTGAAGTTTTCCTACCTTGATGTCCTAGGCTTTTGAACCAAATTCATTTGAACTCCGGGAGTGAACCCGATATTCTAGCATGTTTCAGTTCAACTGTGGTGGAACAATTTTAATTGTGGAAAAATGGCAGTTGAAAGAAAGTGGTGCTGTTAGTTTTTGAAGAGTAGTTTTAAGAGGGGCTCCCTTGGGTTTGCTAGAGGTGATTTTGAGAGGGGCCATTTTTGCATGTTTTTGCAAGAGAAGGATTTTTGAGAGTTGCATACTAAATGAATAATACTTTGATACACTAACTATCTAGGCTTTTAGTCTAGTTGGCTAGAATTCACGTCTCTCAAATGGGAGGTTTGCAAGGTTTGGGTACAACCTTTGTAAAGGCGAGGCATCACGTATGAAGGGTTGTATAATTTGGGCTGCTGTTCGTTGGGTCTCAACTCGGTTCATGCTTGCAGTTGCATATCTGCACCTCTTCCCTCTCTCCTTGGGATTTGGTTGGATGTTTTTAGAGGCAGTTGTTTCTTGTTTGCCATCATAATGATTAAGACAGGTTACTTATTAACCATGTCTATCTATAGCTTACCTTGATTTCACACGGATGGATGGAGAATTAGCGGGCTTCACGCCCTGAGGACCAGTATAGTGTTAAATGGATAGTCAGCACCAAGTGTTTTAGCTGGATCAGTTGATTCTACTTCTTGACTTATCATTTTGTGTATATATATATATATCTGTAAGTCTTGTACAAATTTGTTTTATAAATAAAAGCTCTCTCTTTGATAATTGCAGGATCCTTTCATTCTTGGTATTAGAAGTAAAGGCAGATTAAGTTTATTATGTTGATTTATATACATATCAATTATTAATTCTTGTTGTTTATGTAATTGTGATTTAATTATGTTAGACTAGTGTTATTTTGAATTTGTTATATTAATTCTGTTATAATGGTTTTCTTTTGTTCCTATGGTTTTGCACCAAAGTCGCGTGTGGGATTTTAGGCCATGTCCGAAAGATAAGAGTGAGGTCGTTTGTGTTTCCCGTAAATCGTTGACAACAAGAGTAGTAAATTAGAAAAAAATCGCTATAGCAAAATTATTATAGCAACAGTCATTATAGCATTACTGTAACAGAATTAAAAGACGAATTACTGTACCAACATGAATGTAATAGTGAAGCATATAAGTCAACAGAAACTTTTGTGAAAAACAAATATGACATTAGGTCTATTTAAATTTAATAATAAATATAAAGATGATTATGTTAAAAATATGGAAGAAATTGAATTTTCAGATATTGAAAATAAATAACAGAATTGGAATATACCCTAGTACTCAAGTAGAAAATATATAATATTGAAAATTTTGATTTTAAATCAAGTTTAACAATTAAAAAGCTAAAATGAACAATTTTCTTTGATCAAAATGAAAATACCTTACAACTATTAAAGAAGTCTTAAAGTTTCAAAAAAATTATAAATTCTAACATATTGGATTAGTTCATGTGGCTTTAAAACCATTCACTCTCCAAGGATTAAATACCTCTTTTTATGTTAGTCTTAAGAGATGGTATGTGTCTAGAGTTTGATCAATCATTAATGGCAGTTATGCAATCTAGTTTAAGTACTAGTCTAGTCTATTTTAACAGTTTTTCAAATCTATCAGTATCTTTAATAGATAAATATGTATTAAATATTTTAAATTGTAATATTCAAACTTATGGTTATAATTTGAAAGATGGAATAAACATAATGACTTTTACCTATAGGATATATTATAAAGTGATGAATACTCTTTGTTCAAAAACTAGGCTTCATAACCTTAAGGGTCAAACAACTTTAATTGAAAAAAATATGATTAAAAATAAAATTAAAATTTCTAAAACCATTAAATGGTTAGAAATTTAGTTTTCAGAAAACTAACAATTGGAATCTGCGGTTTCTAAACAATCAGAAATAAATGAAGAAGTAACACACATCTCCTAATAATCTCAGGGCAATATAATGATAAGATTTGCTAGAGATAATTTAAAATTTTTTGATAAATCAGGAGCTTCATCAGTATATTATACTCTTAGTAAGAGGTCTACTTCTTCTATCCCAGATAGGAGAAGGGAAAAAGAACCTATAATTGAGGGAATTAAAATCTCACGTAATCAAATTTCTCATGGAATTTATGGGCAAGATAATGAATCTTCCTTAGAGGAAGATCGAGATCCAACCCTATTTGAAATCGAATTTCAATTATAAATTTTATAGACATAAACCCAAAAGAATTTATAATAAATAAAAAATAAATTAATGAAGAATTTTATCTTCTTAAATATGAGGAATTTAGAACTTGATATTTTAAGACTATGAACCAAGAGGATTGTAAAAGATATAAATAAATGTTTTACTATTATATAAAAATGGAAAAAAGCGGAATTTTTTTATTAAATGGTTTTTAACCTATTATGCTCCACCCACCATGGATCAATTAAATGTAATTGAACAATTCCAACATAATTGGGAAACATTGGATGGTAAAAGTATAAATAGTTTTTACCCTCCTACACATGAAATCGTAAAGATAACCTCCACTTCAAATGAGCTCAGAGACATTATTATGAATGCTTGCTATTCTCTAAAGGATAATCATGACATAGTAAGAAATATTTCTATAAAATAAAATAATTACATTAATGTTTGTCTACAAGTGGTAGAACAACACTTGAGTAAAATTAAAAATTTAATAAGAGAACAAATACAAGAATCTTTGCATTCTCAATCTCAAGAGAAAACATAGGTTGAAATTGAAAAGGTGAACATTAAGCCTCCTGTAGGTATTTCAATATTTAATCTGCATAATAAAGTTGAAGATGAGTTCATAAATGAACTTAAACAAAAATTTAAAAATTTGTCATTAAATAAATTTCTCAGACAAAAGTTAAAAAATTTGTCATTAAATGTAATTTCTCAGACAGAAAGTGTAGAGCAATCTAAAATTGAAATACAACAATTAAAAGATTTTTAACACCAAATGCAATATGAAGAAATAAATAAAATTGGGATTATAAACCTAAAAGGCAAAATAATACATATTTACAAGCACCCCCTATGAGGGTTTATTGTCACAGATCAACTCCTCAAGGTATTTTATATGAAGAAATTTTTTTTATTGATTAAACTGGATATGATGCCTCTTCTATTTATGAGCGGAATATTGATGACATGTTAGAATATTTAATTCATCAAGTTTTGCAAAAAAAATTAATATATGCTTTTATATGTAAAGCTAATCAAAATTCAGATCATGCTATTATTAAATTTATAACTGCAGGATTTATTGGCCAATTAAGAGATCGGTGGGATAGCTATTTAAGTTTAACTCAAAAACATGAAATTTTAAAAGCAATAAAAATAATAACAGCAGAAAGATGGGAGTATAACCACCAAAGGAGATGTTGTTTATACTTTAATCCAAACAATATTAAAATACTTTGTAGGGATAAGCTTACAAAATACAGATAAGAGTAAAGAACTTTTAATGAATTTAAGATGTCCCACCTTAACACATTTTAGGTGGTATAGGGATGTATTTTTGGCAAAAGTTTTATTGAGAACAGCTGCTAATAATGAGTTTTGAAAAGAAAAATTTATATCTGGTTTACCCGGCTTAGTTGCTGAAAAAATAAGGATTCGATTAAAGCAAAGACGTTTAGCTCTCTGTAATGATTTAAATCTTAAAGCTGACCTTAAAAGTCAAAGGTTAACCGGCAGAAAAAAACTTGAAGAATTTTGTAATCAATTTACTTATAATCTTGATATTCCAAAAGATAAATATTCATCTAAAAGAAAATCTTATAATAAACCATATAAGAAAAGAAGAAAATTTCATAAAAAGAATTATGAAAAAGATAAAACAAATAAGCCCACTAAAAAACTTAAATCAAAAAGTAAAAAACCAATTTTTTTTTTTGGTCAGAAAAACCAATTAAGAGTGGAAAAGAAAGACATATTGTAAACCCGCACACTTTTATCTTTATATAACACGTAATTATGTTTTTGAAATACTAATTTAAGTAATAGAGTATGCATGAACTAAGTAAATTGTAATAGTAGAGATACAAATGTTAATAGTGTAGAATCGGGTAAATATTTAGTTTAAACTTAGTTTTGACTTGTAAATATATGAAACCGTTTGCACTAGAACTTATACTAACTATGTTTGATATACAAATGTATGTTGTATAAGTGTGGGTTGATTTTGGAAGGATTTGGAATGGATTGAAAATGAAAAACAAAAGAAACAGGCAAAATTGAACAGACCATACTGGTACTGCGTACCAGTACTCTCAGAAGTTACCGTACCGGTATGCTACTGTCCAGAGAGTTTACCGTACCGATACTGTGTACCGGTACATTCTGTAAGTTCAAGAAATTTTAAGTCGCGATCTGGAGTCTATTTTTTACCTATAAATACATAATGACGCCTCCATTAGCCCCATTTCAACATTTTAACCCTAGAAAGTCCTCTAGAGAAAAAAAGGAGGGGAAAAACAAGAGATAAAGAGTTGATTTAAGTTGGGGAAAGATCAAATCTCAAGTTCTTCACACAAAACCAAGGAAGAAGAAGATAGGGGATTTTCTTCCCTTCTTGTCCATTGATACTAGGGCTAATATATATGTATTCTTTGACTCTCAATCTTATATATTTGCTATGAAATCATCTTTTCTTGGTCTTCTTGCAGTTATTATCATGTTTTACACAAGTT